TGTTCAAATAGAAAAAACATAAAGGCATTCTTGGTATTATAACACATCTGGGAAAGATGGAAGGTCAAAGAAGAGGGGGACGGCAAAGGATGAGATGGTTAGACAGTGTCATAGATGCAACGAACATGAAATTGAGCGAATTTCAGAGGACGGCGGAAGACAGGAAGGCCTGGCGTGATCTGGTCCATGGGTTTGCGAAGAGTCGGACTCGACTGTGCGACTGAACAACAAAACACATCTGGATAATAATATAGGTTCATTAAATGTCAACATAGGCCATCTCAGATCTTCACTTAGGTTTCTTCTTAGCTTTACTTTTCTTCTTCATTTGCCAGGGGAAGATTGACTTTAAAGGTTTTGAGAGCAGCCTCTCCTAGGTCGCAATCAGAGTCTGAGTCAAAAATTTCACCCAAAGACACAGAAGTAGCTGTAGAGGATGAACTATCCATATTGGATTTCTGTTCTTTGCTGTTCATTCTCGATGCCTTCCCAAGGCAGCCATTTCCTCCAGGGGAGCTGATGTCTGTCAGGTGGAGATCAGTGGTAAAAGCGGGAGATCCCCAGGCCCCACCTGGAGGCTGGCAGCCCTAAGGCTGGGGAAGACCAGAGCTGGGCTCTGCTTTGGGACAGTCCTAGAGATTTTGAGAGGGGTATGGGGAAGGTATGCCAACCTAGCAGTTCGAAAGCAAGAAATTGCAAGTAGATAAATAGGTACCACTTCGGTGGGAAAGGTAGCACCGTTCCGTGTGTCTTGGTGTTTAGTCATGCCGGCCACATGACCATGGAAATGTCTTCGGACAGTGCTGGCTCTTCGGCTTGGAACCGGAGATGAGCACCGCAACCCTAGAGTCGGATGCGACTGGCTTTCGAGCAAGGGAACCTTTACCTTTATGGGGAAGGCAGGGGCCTCAGCATGGTATACTGCCACAGAGACCAACTTCCAAACCAGTCATTTTCTCCAGGGGAACTGATCTCTTGTCGGCTAGAGACCAGTTCTTCTTTGTTTAAATTTAATAATTTTTATTATTAAATGGATCCCAGGAGATCTCCGGCCTAGAATGAGGAAGAGGCATTATGCACATTATAAAAAGGTATAACCAAGTGTGTTCAAGTTAGAGAATAGTGGTCTTTTTTGGTGAGTTCATTTCCCCCAAAACTTTTACCACCTGGAGACTGGCCGTCAACGCTCCCTCTAAGCTGTGGGAGTCTTGTGAGCAAAAATTCTACTTTTTGAGCGACTGGCATGAAAGTGGTGAGCCAGCGATTGGGCTGCTGCATCCATTCCGGCTCTGGAGCCCTCCTTCCCGAGCTAGGACAAAAAACGTGTGAGCTGGAGGCTAAAGAACTGTCAGCTAGCTCACACTGAGTCGGCTTAGAGGGAACACTGCAGTGGCAACCCGAACCTCATCACTCTACTCTGGCCCTCCAGCCTGGCCTGGAGGTGATTTCTGTCTAATGGTATTTCCGGCGCCGAGGGGAAATGCACTCGGTACGTGCCCCGAGGCTTCTCTCTCCTTCGGTGTGGCCTCATACCTGGTAAGACTCACCCCCACTGTTGGAAATCAGTCTGGGGCGTCAGAATTGGTACTTCCAGGACTGCGCTTGCTGATTAAAAGGGCCCGACTTTCTCTCTGCGCCTCCGGCAGTGGCAGGGATTGCGGCATCTTTGTGAGGAGAGGGATGGGAGGCGGGAAGGAAGGGCCGGGTGGGAATTTGGGGGGGCCGCAACGGAGTGATGCGCCCTCCACCCCCTTTCTGTCTTTCTATACAGGTGTGAACCCCTCTGACCCTGCTCCTTCGTGTCCCCCCGATGTGCCTCTCGACCTCCAAGGTAAGGGGGACCTGCCAGGACTGGGTGCGACGTGGCAGAAAGGGGAATTATCCTCAGAAGTCTGTTAGCAAGTGCAGAATTTGCCGGAGGGCCCGACTTTTCAGAAGCTTGGGGGTGCCTCTGAGCACGTGCAGAGTGCATCTTCCCCTCTGAGGGACCTGGTTTTTAATACTTTTTTTTTAAAAAAACCCCTTTTCTCCCACTGTTTTCTTACTGAAGCGATTTCTCACTGGGTGTGTGTGTGAAAAGCACTCTAGACATGCTCAGAGGTGCAGTTTTAAAGGTAAAGCCCTACTCACCTTGACCTTGTATCTGTCTGTCTGCCCCTCTCTTGCTCTTTCTGGTTAAAAAAAAAAGTTCTCCTTGGAGGGAAAGACAGTGTTCAGGCCCCCGTGTGCCATAATTCTAGAGTCCAAAAAACCAGCTGCCTTGTCTCCTGACCCCTCTCTTCCTTTTGGGGGGGAATCTTTCGATCTTCTCCTCACAGGCACTTTCAAAGGCTGGCAAATTAGCACCGAGCCCCTGTCTGTGGAAAAGGAGGCTGACTGGCCGCGCTACAGGTGAGGGGGTCCCTGGCCGCCGGTGGGCTGGGGTTGCCGGCTCCAGGTTGGGAAATACCTGGAGGCTTTGGGGGTGGGGCCTGAGGAGGGCGGGATTTGGGAAGGGGCGGGACTTCGATGGCCATAGAGTCCACCTTCCAAAGCAGCCATTTTCTCCAGGGGAACCGATCTCTGTTGGGAGAGCTCCAGCCAGTACCTGGAGTTTGGCAACCCTAGCTACATACCCCCAGAGGTCTGGCATCCCTTGCCTTCCTCCGCCCTGGCCTCTGACCCGTCTCTTCCTGTCCCCAGCTGGAGTGTTAAGCAGCAGGAAGTCGACCTGCTGGCTGAGGGACTCTGGGAAGATCTCCTAGACGTGTACCAGCCGAACGTCACCATCATGGACTGGTAAGCTGGGCCCCAACTGAATGAACATCTGGAGCAGAGGCCCATCAGT